CCCGACCCGAGAGGTGTTCTGCGCGCTGTTCCTGCTGAGCCTGCTGCGGCGCCCGCTGCCGCCCGCGGAGTCCACGACCCTGGCAGAGGTCCGCAGGGCGCTCGCGGCCAGGCGGGGAGCCACGGCCGCCGCCAAGGCGGCCGCCGTGGCCGACGCGTGAGCCCCCCCCCCCCCCCCTGCCCTTCCCTGTTGGCCCTCGCGCGGGCGGCCCGCACGATGGTCTCGCGGGCCTCGCACGGCCATGTCTCTGCAGTCGGGGCCCTGGAGAAGGAACCCTTTTCGTTGGGAAGTGGCTCCGCGTTCCTCGAGTGTTTCACAGCTTGCCTCAGGCTTTCCTCATGTTTTCGTCCGGAAATCGGAGGTTAACTTGTGGAAGAAAGGGGCCTCGTTCCTCATTCAGGGTTCCTTAGGTCAACGCCCCGACTGTACTCGTGTGGACCCTGCTCGGCGCTCCGGCCTGCCGCCGCCGTGCTCTCGCAGGGCCGTCCCCCGGGGACGGCGGGCTGGCGCCTCGCCTCGCCTCGCCGTGCGGTCTCGGCTCCGCGCTCCGCCTCGCTCTCGCCACGGAGGGCATGTTTTCCTGCAGGCGTCGCCGTCCGCGCCCGAGCAGCGTTCGGAGTACGGTCGGCCCTGATGGACAGGGCGAGCATGCCAGATCGAGGGTACTCCAGATTTCGTAATAAAAGGGAGGGGGTCTGGACCCTCCAAGACAAGCCATTTCAGACCCCCCCCCGTGGGAGAACCCTCCAAAACATCGCCCCCAGACCCCCCCAGGCCCTCCAAGATAGCTTGGAAAAGACCCCCCCCGAAATGAGACCCCCCTCCCTTTATTACGAAATCTGGAGTACCCTCGTGTCCTGTCTGTCCCGATCTATGGAAGAGCCCTTTCTGTGGTCGCTCGTAGCCTCCCCCCCCTCGGGTTCGGAACCTGGGGGGTTGGGGGAGGGGAGAAATGCCCCCCCCCCCCCCTCCTCTGGGTTCGAACCCGTACGGGCGGGGGGGGAGGGGAGACCCCTCTCCTCCGAGCGGCGTCGTCGACGTCGGCGTCGGCGTCGTCGTCGGCGTCGGAGCTGGCATCGACGTCGTGCTCTGCGTCGGCGTCGTGATTGGCCTCGTGCTCGGCGTCGTGCTCGGCGTCGTCATTATCGTCGTCGTCGTCGTCGTCGTCGCTGGCGTCGGCGTCGGCGTCGTGCTCGGCGTCGAGCTCGGCGTCGGCGTCGGCGTCGTCGTCGTCGTCGTCGTCATGCTCGGCGTCGGCGTCGGCGTCGTCGTCCTCATCGTCGTCGGCGTCTTTGTCGGCGTCGTGCTCGGCGTCGTGCTCTTCGTCGGCATCGTCGGCGTCGGCGGCGGCGGCGGCGTCGTTGTCGGCGTCGGCGTCGGCGTCGGCATCGTTATCGGCGTCGGCGTCTGCGTCGGCGTCGTGCTCGGTGTCGTGCTCGGCGCTGTGCTCTTCGTGGTCGTCGGCGCCGGCGTCGTCGTCGTCGTCGTGCTCGGCGTCAGCGTCGGCGTCGCGTTCGTCGTCGTAGTCGTCGTCGTCGTCGTCGTCGTCGTCGTCGTCGTCGTCGTCGTCACGTCGACTCGCGGGGGTTTCGACGTCGACGTCGTCGTCGGCGTCGTGCTCGGTGTCGTGCTCGGCGCCGTGCTCTTCGTCGTCGTCGGCGCCGACGTCGTCGTCGTCGTGCTCGGCGTCGGCGTCGGCGTCGTTGTCGTCGTCGTCGTCGTCGTCGACGTCGGCGTCGCCGTCGTTCTCGGCATCGTGCTCGGCGGCGTGATTGGCCTCGTTCTCGGCGTCGTGCTCGGCGTCGTCATTATCGTCGTCGTCGTCGTCGCTGGCGTCGGCGTCGGCGTCGTGCTCCGCGTCGAGCTCGGCGTCGGCGTCGGCGTCGTCGTCGTCGTCATGCTCGGCGTCGGCGGCGGCGGCGTCGTCGTCCTCATCGTCATCGGCGTCTTTGTCGGCGTCGTGCTCGGCGTCGTGCTCTTCGTCGGCATCGTCGGCGGCGGCGGCGGCGTCGTTGTCGGCGTCGGCGTCGGCGTCGGCATCGTTATCGGCGTCGGCGTCTGCGTCGGCGTCGTGCTCGGTGTCGTGCTCGGCGCTGTGCTCTTCGTGGTCGTCGGCGCCGGCGTCGTCGTCGTCGTCGTGCTCGGCGTCAGCGTCGGCGTCGCTTTCGTCGTCGTAGTCGTCGTCGTCGTCGTCGTCGTCGTCGTCGTCGTCGTCGTCGTCGACGTTGACGTCGACGTCGACGTCAACGTCGACGTCGGCGTCGTTCCCGGTGTCGTGCTCGGCGCCGTGCTCTTCGTCGTCGTCGGCGCCGGCATCGTCGTCGTCGTCGTGCTCGGCGTCGGCGTCGGCGTCGGCGTCGTCGTCGTCGTCGTTGTCGTCGTCGTCGTCGACGTCGGCGTCGCCGTTGTTCTCGGCATCGTGCTCGGCGTCGTGCTCTTCGTCGTCGTCGTCGTTGTTGTCGTCGTCAGCGTTGGCGTCGGCGTCGGCGTCGGCGTCGTGTTCGGCGTCGGCGTCGGTGTCGGCGTCGTCGTCCTCGTCGTCGTCGTCGTCGTCGTCGTCGTCGTCGTCAGCGTCGTCGTCTTCGGCGTCGTGCTCTTCGGCGTCGGCTTCGGCGTCGTCCTCGTTGTCGTTGTTGTCGTCCGTCGGCGCCGCCGCTGTCGTGCCGTCGCCGTCGTCGTCGCCGTCTTCGTCGTCGTCGTCGTCGTCCTTGTCGTTGCCTTCCCCTGCCGGTTGTGCACCAGGTTCGAACCTGGGGGGGTAATCGTCGGCGTCGGCGTCGGCGTCGGCGTAGTTGTCGTCGGCGGCGGCGTCGGCGTCGGCGTCAGGGTTTGCGTCGTCGTTGTCGTCGTCGGCGGCGTCGTCGTCGGCGGGGTCGGTGCCGGCGTCGCCGCTGTGCTCGGTGTCGTGCTCGGCGTTTTGCTCTTCGTCGGTGTCGGCGGCGTCGGCGTTGTCGTCGGCATCGTTGTCGGCGTCGGCGCCGCCGTCGGCGTCTTTGTCGGTGTCGTGCTCGGTGTCGTGCTCTGGGTCGTCGTCGGCCCTGTTGTTGTTGTTGTTGTCGTCGTCGTCGTCGTCGTCGTCGTCGTCGTCGTCGTTGTTGTTGTTGTTGTTGTTGTTGTTGTTGTTGTTGTTGTTGTTGTTGTTGTCATTGTTGTTGTTTTTTATTCATGCCCAAAGGATAATTATTGTTGATCAGGAACGGCGCTCCCGCTTGAGACTTCCTCGCAACTTAGTCAGGGCCCCCGCTCCCGCCCGAGATTTCCTCACAATGTACTCAGGACTGCGCTCTCGCGTGCGACGTCCTCACAAATTATTCTGGAATTGCGTTTCGGCGCTCAGGAACACGCACGCGCCAAGGACGCCTTCACAACGTGGTATCTTCCCTCTTCCTTCGTCCTTCCCCCTCCCCTTCCTCCCACTCTCCCTCGTTCTTCCCCTCCTCCTCTTGCAGGGCCCGCGCCAATTCCAATGGCGGGCAGAGAGATGTACGCCCCGAAGGATTGTCCGCCCGTTCCGGTTTGCCCGTACGTCTAAGCCCGCCGGCCCCAGCAAAGAGAAATAATCCCCCCGAAAGGGGTGATCGAAGACGAAGAGGGCGGGCATCGAGGGTGTAGGGTATACGTGTTGAATGACTCGCGGGCAAGTAAGAGCGTACAGCCTTAAAATGGTTGTTGTTGGTGTCGTTGTGTTGTTGTGTTGTATTGTTGTTGTTTGTTGGTGTTGCTGGTTGTTGTTGCTTGCTGTTGTTGTTGTTGTTGTTGCTGTGGTTGTTGTTGTGTTGTCATTGTTGTTGTGGTGTTGTTGTTGTGTGTTGTTTTGTTGTTTGTTGAAACTGTTGTTCTTGGACGATAATATTTGTGAATACCCCCCCACCGGTGCACATTGATTTTTTTCGATTGAAGTGCCACCCCCGGGGCTCGCACTTTGTTTTTTCTCAAGGAAAGTCTTCCTGCTCAAACTGTGCCCCTGCCCCCCGGGCTACAACAACAACGGCTCCCGCTTGAGACTTCTTCGATTTTTACTCAGGACCCCCGCTCCCGCCTGAGACTTCCGCGCAATTTACTCAGGAAAGGCGCTCCCGGTTGAGACTTCCTCGCAATGTAATCAAGACCCCCGCTCCCGCCTGAGACTTCCGTGCAATTTACGTGGGAACGGCGCTCCCGCTTGAGACTTCTTCGAATTTTACTCAGGACCCCCGCTCCTGCTTGACATTTCCGCGCAATTGACTCAGGAACGGCGCTCCCGCCTGAGACTTCCTCGCAATTTAGTGAGGACCCCGCTCCCGCCTGAGACTTCCGTGCAATTTGCTCAGGAACGGCGCTCCCGCTTGAGACTTCCTCGCAACTTAGTCAGGGCCCCCGCTTCCGCCCGAGATTTCCTCACAATGTACTCAGGACTGCGCTCTCGCGTGCGACGTCCTCACAAATTATTCTGGAATTGCGTTTCGGCGCTCAGGAACCACGCACGCGCCAAGGACGCCTTCACAACGTGGTATCTTCCCTCTTCCTTCGTCCTTCCCCCTCCCCTTCCTCCCACTCTCCCTCGTTCTTCCCCTCCTCCTCTTGCAGGGCCCGCGCCAATTCCAATGGCGGGCA